AAAGAGAAAGATTGTATGCTGGATCCCAATAAGCTGGATAAAAGTGATGAAGACTATAGACATACTACTAAGAACTTTTGCTGATGATAGTCCAGTTATTTTATAACTGAATATACAAAATAAAACATCTTTCTGGAGAATGAACAATAGTCTTTGGCAAAATGAAAATTTTAAGAAAGAAGTGATGCAAGAAATGTCTTGGTTCTTTAAGGAAAATAAATCTCCAGCTGTACCAATGAGAGTAGTCTGGGATGCAGGAAAAGCAAGCTAAGAGAGATAGTTATAAAGCATGCAGCAACACAAAAAGGGAAAAAATACAAAATTACAAAGAATTAGAGAAAAAACTCTTCGAGTTAGAACAACAGTCAGTACAATATAGCTCATTTGAAAAACTAGTAGATAATATGAAATTAGTACAACATCAAATAAATCTATGGTGGATGTCAGAAATAGCAATAAAGATAAAACAAGTGAAACAAAATTTCTTTGAAAAAGCAAACAAACGAGGCAGATGGCTTGCCTATACACTGGGAAAAGAACAAACAAGAAACCAAATCATAAACCTTAAAGACCAGGAAGAAGAGACTTATAGACTGGGAAAAGAACAAACAAGAAACCAAACCATAAACCTTAAAGACCAGGAAGAAGAGACTAAATGGGAGCAGAAGGAAATTTAAAAAATTGTCAAGGATTTCTATCAAGCGCTATACAAAGAACCAGGGAAATCAATAATATAGCAAAGAGAATATCTACAGAAGTTTCAGTTAAATAAATTATCTAAAGAAAAAAAGAGAGATCTTGAATTCCTCAATAGCAATGTGAAGTGGTGGAAGCTACAGTGGTACCTCGACTTGCGAACTTAATCCATTTTGGAACGACGTTTGTACATTGTAAAGTTCATAAGTCAAAATACCATTTCCCATTGAAATGTATGGGAACAGAATTAATCTGTTCCAGCATTTCAAAAGGCAAAAAGGCAGGGGGAAGGGGCTGGAAATTCCAATTTCCTGCCCTTTCTTCCTGCCTTTTTGGCTTCGGAGGTCTCAAATGGCTTCCTCCGATGTTGGGGGCAAAGCCCTTTGAGACCTCCGAAGGCGCTGGTGGTTGCAGCGGGGACCCCCAGGGAAGTCTCCCAGGGCTTGCCCGCCACCATGGGAGACCTCCCTGCCACCACGATCAACGCCTTCAGAGCTCTCAAAGAGCTTCCTCCGATGTCGGGGGGGGGGAAGCCCTTTGAGAGCTCTGAAGGCAAAAAGGCAGGGAGAAAGGGCAGGAAATTCGAATTTCCAGTTCATACTTTACTGAAACTCTAAACTAAAGAACGATGGCAATTTAGTACTGCCAATTTTCTCCCTTTTTTTCCATGCAGTTCTCTGCCTTTGCAGAAGTACAGAATATTAGAAAACAAAATTTCAAGTGAAACGTTTTACTGCTTCACCTCCATTCCAAGATTCACAAGTCTAACCAGCCCTAGAAAAGATGTATTTCAAAACATTCAGGCAATGTTATATGAAATGCTTTCATGTTCAAGAAGAAAAATTTAGAACATTCAGCTAAACGACTTCCTGTCTGAAGTCTAATAGATCTGCTGTAGGCTGTGTAACACTGTTGTAAGATTGTCTGCTGTTATGCCACAGGGCTCCTGTGTCTTGAAGGAACTTTGCAGTTGCAATGAGCAGAGTGGGAAAATTTATCCAGTGATTTGCTGCTTGGCACACAAAAAAATCCCCTGGAAAAGCTGGCAATTGTACCCTATCAACCTTTGTCTTTCCCAAGCCACAACAGAGTTCCCTGTAACATATTCTGGAAAAAAAAATGCACACACACTCATGCATATACACAATCCAGAGTTTAAAATAGCATATACTAGCTGAGGAAATTCATACAAGATGTGCACATCTGCATCATATAATTTAGTGAAGGGGGGCTCCTGTGTCTTGAAGGAACTTTCAGCATACAGTTGCAATGAGCAGAGTGGGAAAATTTATCCAGTGATTTGCTGCTTGGCACACAAAAAAATCCCCTGGAAAAGCTGGCAATTGTACCCTATCAACCTTTGTCTTTCCCAAGCCACAACAGAGTTCCCTGTAACATATTCTGGAAAAAAAAATGCACACACACTCATGCATATACACAATCCAGAGTTTAAAATAGCATATACTAGCTGAGGAAATTCATACAAGATGTGCACATCTGCATCATATAATTTAGTGAAGGATCAAGGGCTGAGTCTAATTTGCTTGAAATAAAATTAGGAAAAATTAGGGCTTGGGAAGAAGAATGACATAAAATATGAGCATCCCTATATATAGTTATAGGAATACACATGAACACATAACTGTTACAACTTACTGTATTTTTTGCACCATAAGACTCACTTTTTTCCCACAAAACAGGGGGGTGGAAAGTCTGTGCATCTTATGGAGCGAAGAAAACAGATTATATTTTCCTGTTTTCTTCTCCTAAAAAATCGGTGCGTCTTATGGAAAGGTGCGTCTTATAGAGCGAAAAATACGGTATATCAGTGGATGTGTGAGCAAACTTTGAAAATGAAGCCAAACTGCACCATGCAGAAACCTTCTATGTTATATGGAACCTTATATGTAATACACCTTTTCCAGTCAAATATGCTCCGGAACATATGACACATATAGGCATTTTAGCCCTCAAAAGAAGATGGTTACGTGTTGCATGTCAGCCTTGAAGTACTCAATGGGAAACACATGCTTAGCTAGATGGACCTTTGGTCTGATAGTTTCATCAGGTTTATACACACAAACTAGTCTAGGTTTGTTTTTATTTATTATATATTTTCTTAATGGCCAATTAAAAGTACCACCTGCTCCTGCATTTGGACAGTCTAAATATAAGCATGATTTCCTCTTGAGGAGAGGATATAATATAATAGATAAACCATATCTTTGGCATAATGTAGATTAAAAATAAGTTTAAAATACATAAACATGTAATCTGGAAAACAAAGAGAAAATCAACACTATTTCACTCAATCCCAGTTCAACCAAAACATCTGCCTATCACCCTATAAATGTCCCTGTGCTTCTGCTGCCGTTATGAAAAAGGAACAAAGCTTTTAAAGAACAGCTAATAGTTAACAGCTGTTTGGCTGAAAAATGACACATCTGGAAAAACACAGTGCTGTTAATATGGACTGAACTGATTGTTTCCTAATAGCTTGGGGTTACATTTTTAAAGAACTATAGAATTAACAACAAACAAACCAAAAAAACAACACTACACAAATGAACACATGCTCCTCATGGAAAGGCAAACAGTACCAGAATGATCAAATAATTAATTAAAACTACAATCTGTGTGATGGCAAGAGGAGAAGGGGACGACCGAGGATGAGATGGCTGGACAGTGTCTGCGAAGCAACCAACATGAACCTGACACAACTCCGGGAGGCAGTAGAAGACAGGAGGGACTGAAACTAACTAAACTTAATGTCAAGGTAATGTTTTGGTGTCTCCAATGAGGTGTTTTAATTCTGCGCACATTATAACCAGTAATCAGGAACCATTCATAATGGTTTTACCAACAGATTCTGCCACCATGAGCCCCACTGTTGGAAGGCAGGTGGCATAGAAATGCAATAAATAAATAAACAAATTCAAATGAGACTCCTTTAACCCCAGTGCCCACACAAGATACAAATAATGTCATTGACAGTTGGAATAAATTGAAAAGATATGAATTTTTTTCCCAACTCATCTTTTGCTCAGTTGTTTCATGATCTGGGTACTTTTCAGCTTGATGACTCTTCTGCTTTCTTTCAATAATGATAGTACTGAGAGCATTTGTACTGCTATTTTATTAGGTTTCTAAAATGCATTCTTATCAATGTCTTCTTGTTGCTGTTGCTGTCCCTGTTATTTTTGATCTGGTGATAGCAGGGGTTAAGTATGTATGTATGTATGTATGTATTATCCACCTCTAACCTTAAAAAAGAACCAAGATGACTTACATCATTAAAAGAAGGCATTTAAAATTAACAACAGCAAGTACACAAATACTAAAAGAAACCAAGCATCTTATCTAAAAAGAGTAAACAAAAGCAAAACCAAAACAGCTTCAAAACAGTAAGGTATAACAATCCATTTAAAAATCCCAGACAGACAGACAGACAGACAGACAGACAGACAGACAGACAGACAGACAGACAGATAGATAGATAGACAGACAGACAGACAGACAGACAGACAGACAGACAGACAGACAGACAGACAGACAGACAGACAGACAGACAGACAGACAGACAGATAGATAGATAGACAGACAGACAGACAGAGAAAGCTGATATGCTTTTATCTTTTTTGACTGATGCATCACATATTGATTTTTTCCCAAAAAGAAAAAAGAAAGAAAGAAAAAAGCAAAACGAGCTGCTTATATACCGCCCCATAGTGCTTCAAGCACTCTCTGGGCAGTTTACAAGTTAATAATGCAGGCTACACATTACCCCCCGCCCAGCAAGCTGGGTACTCATTTTACCAACCTCAGAAGGATAGAAGGCTGAGTCAACCTTGAGCTGGCTACCAAGGATTAAACCCTGGGTCATGAGCACAGTTTTACTTTACTTTACTTTTACTTTATTTAGATTTATACCCCGCCCCTCTAGACAAAGTCTACTTGGGGCAGCTTATAAAAAATGATAAAAATGATAAAATAATACATTACTAAAACCTAATAATATAACCAACTAATTTATGAATATATATATTATCAAGATGGGCGAATAGAGAAACGAAACAATTAATTGACTGGAGGGAAGGCCTGTTTAAAGAGCCAAGTTTTTTAATGGCTTTTAAAAATGGCTACAATATAGCAGTTTAGCCACTGCACCATGAGGCTCTTTATTTGTAATTGGTCCAATTTTCACAACTGCTTTGAGAATGATCAGCTACAGTATAGTTCATCAAGTATCACAAGCCTTTATTAAAAAGTAAATTGAAATAGTTTGAGCCCTGGTCTGTTAATACCTTTCAGAATCAGATGGCTGCATGATCTGTGTATCTAGGAAATCTTCGCAGATGGTTTTAGTCCGCCAACGGTCACTCTAATTTAAAAAAGTAGAAAGACTATTATTGTTAAAATATCAGATTTCCCCGATACTGTAAACATTTTAAAATTATTTTTGCACATAAGTGGTTTGAAATCAAATCAAACTATTTTTAATTTATGGGCATGCAGATAAGTCATTTGAGCATGCCTAAAATGGAAAAAAGTATTATTGCTATTGCTATTATTATTATTTTAACATTGTTGCTATTCAAATAATTTCCCCAGAATCCAAAATTCTATTCATATAGTTTAAAAAACACTCAAAATACATACTTGAGAAAGAATGCCTCTATCTAGGCCTAAATAAGTTTCATAATATTGTTCCTATAATGAGTGAACTTAAAATCATGGTTAGAAAACTTACATGTAGCACATTTGCTTGAAGGAGCTTATAAGAGAGTTTAATCAGTTGTCAAGAAAGGTAGGAAAAGATCATAAGTGCTAGAGTTCTTTAAAATAATCATTCTTGTACACAACAGACTTTATATTCTTCTTTGCAAGTATATCTTTAGAGAACAAATATGCAGGAAACTCTAAGTGATTTATTTAACTGATAAAGAAAAAAATCTGCTAATTTATGTATTTTATTTCAGTGAGGATCCTGAGCACTCAGACATATCTGAAAAGTCCAGTTATGTAGGCACTTAAATTTGAATTTTCTCATTAGATACAACAATGTCCTGAGAAGTAACTCTATCAGTCTGCAGGAGCAAAAACCACACTATTGCACTGTAAAAATAAGCACAGTAATTGTAGCACAAGCTTCCGTATTAAGATGGACTCTAATCCATGAAGACCTACAACATAATTGTGTTAGTCTTCAAGCTCACCGTCCCACTCGCACATGGATCGCCTATGCTTTGAAGTGCTGCAGTATTTGTTGCTGTTTATTCCTCACTGGAACTGTACATGGGTGCAACCAAACAAAAATATGTACAAATGAGCAAGATTACAAGTACAGTTTTTCTGGAAGTGAGATAATATTAATGATCCAATCCCAGTTTTATACCAGGAGGTGTAGAAAACTAATGTAGACATAATTCTTTGCTGATTTTTTATGCATATAAACCATTTGTGTACAATACAATAAAATAAAGCCAGCAAAGGACAGGACAGTTTTTTGTTACTGTGTGCCCCATTAAATTGTCATTTGTCAAATCACATTTGAAATCACCTTATGCTTATATCTTGCAAAATCCTGCTTTATATGTCTTGTATGCCTTATATTTCTGCATAGCATCTTGGCTATGTTGGCTGGGGGATTCTGAGATTTTTGGTCCCAAAACGTAAATTTCCAAAGCTCTAGGAACACAATAGAACTCTTGCTATTCATCAGAAAACAAATAAGACTCCCAAAGGAAAGAATGCTCCCAAAACTCAGCTGTAAGTTGTTGTAGGTTTTTCAGTCCAAACAGCCCAAAAAACCTACAACAACCATCAGATCCTGGCTGGGAAAGCCTTTGAGAATACTCAGTTGTAAGGTTAAGGCTTGGCTTAGGACTAGTACAGAAGTACTTCCATTCCACATGTATATGTATATACATAACACACACATGCCTACACACACACCACCATCTGGTGTGTGTGTGTGTGTTTTTACACTAATCAAAAATGCTATGCCCCAAGGAGATAACAACTCATTTTAAGAAAAAAATTCAAGAAACAACTTGACATTATTCACTGTCGGAAACAGATATTTTTAAATGCTTTTGAATTACACCAACAATCATTCTTGGAGCAAGCTGCTTGCTTCCAGGTTGCTCTTTATTAAAAGCAGGTGAACAATACTGAGGGGGATAACAGGCCTTTGCACCTATAATTTGACTGCCTATCATGCAGCTGTCTGATTGCACCTTTGGTGACAGGCCTGCAAGAAGGACCTCTGTTTCTGATTGCAAAGGATAAGTAACTTTATATAGACAAAGGTGGTCCTAAAGATAATCTGATCCCAAATCATCAAGGAATGTGCAACTTAATACACTAGATCTTTAAATTGAGGCTGGATCTAGCATGACCTGTTCTTGGAGCATCCCAACTGTTGCATACTGTATTTCAAAGCAGCCTGTTCTCAGTTGAGTGACACTTCAAAAATAGCTGCAGAAAATGGCTAGGATCCTGTCAGATCAAGACTGGGGGAGGGTAAGAGTTTAGTACTCCCCCCTCCCCCCATTACACAGAAACCATTAAATGGCTATCATAATTCTTATGTTTTTGTGAACACTTCATAAGGACTACTCCAACCGTTTGTAATCATTGACATTGACATTTTTCCTGTTTAAGGCTGTGTAAATCATTACTTGATATGTTCTCACAGCTCAATTGACAAAGTGGAAAGGTGAGAATGTGCACGCGTGGAAGACCAATTCTTGCTCATTTCTGTGAATTCACAAAATTTAATTGCTGCCTTGTTGCATGGGCTATTAAAAAGTATATACCTTGTTTGCATCATTGTGAGCAATCAGCCTGTCTTTTTGTCCTTGCTCTTTGTGCTTAGCTTCAGAAAAGGGAAAATATACTAGAGGAAGTTTGCACAAATTTGCACAAAGCACAAGAGGGGGAAAACCCACATGATATCTTGGGAAGCTAGAATTTTCATGGGGACTGAAGACTCTTCAACAGGTTGTCTTGCTCTCTTGGGATAGCCTACCTTAGCTATAAAACAAGACATTGGCAGGATTTTTCTACACCAGTATTGCTGTTGTTTCATCCAGCATCAGCATTCACACTTTACATGGAGAAACTGTCTCAGAATGTGGAATGCAAAGGGTTTACTATTACTGTATTTCACTATAGCCTCTATTTCATAATCAAAGATATGAGAAGACGAAGTGATTTTAAGTAGAGAATGAATTAATCCTGACTCTTAGGCCATTATTTTGCCTTGTAGTGCACATGAGAGAGTTCTTCAGCCCTGAAGGGTTGTTATAATTCCACATGATTTTTAATAAAGTTTGGTCAACTCACAGTCTTTACAACTTTAAAATACATTCCCCACTACAATGAGAGATAAGAAGAAAACCCTGTGTGCAAATTTTACCTCATCATCAACTATTAGAGAAGCAATTCTCAGCCTCCGCTCACCAGCATATTAATTACATGGAGACAATAATAGTCATTTATTTATTTATTTATTCCTTTAAAAAGTCTGAAGGCAACTTATATTATTAAAAGACAACATTTAAAGCTAAAAACAGTAAGTATAAAAATACTAGAAAGGTTAAAATAGTACACTACAGCATGGTAAACAATAACAATACTAAAAACATATTCAACGCAGTAAGGCACCACAACCCATTTAACAACTCCACTCAAGCAGCCTGAGGGAAAGCTTGCCAGACAAGAACTGTCAGAATGCCTTATGATAATACCGGTAGCTCCAAAGCTTTTAGAAAGGTCTAAATTACTAGTATGCATTGATACCACTACTTCACTCAACTATTAAATGAAACCTATCATGAAAAATAATTTTCATGATAAATTATTTTATCAGGAATAAAATAATTTATCATTGATAAAATAAATTTACATCTATTACGGAGCAGATTTTAGCACATAAAAATATGGATAAGGGTAAAAAACAGCCCCTTTGTCCAGTTTCTTATGCTGAAGTAAGGGAAACATGTTAAAAATTAAGTAAATACAAGTACATAACAAATAAGTTCCTCACAACAAAACTAAGGAGGCAGAAATCACACCACTTCCTCTCCAATCCATTTCTCAAAACAAATTGAATATCTAGTAGGTTCTAAACCAAGAACTAATGACAAAAGCAATATAGTACTAACAAACATAATTGGAAGGTATTGCCATGAAAAAAAACTCAGCAGTCCAGTTGTCAGTCAATACACAAGCAGAAGTATTTGGATTGCAGCTAATTATGGGGCTCAGCTCATTTGAAGGACAGTGTTATGATTTATAGATTGTTCTGTAAACACTGGTTATCTTCAACATAGTAAATTTAACTCCCGTACGTAGGTCTTATTTTGCAACTGTAACCATGCTTTTTTGGAAATTAGTTCTGTTGGTGCTAGAGAAAAGTAACTTCTGAGCATAACAGGAAAAGTTACTACTGTATTACAAAGAATGAATATAGTGATGCACTGCACCCATCAATTACTGAGTGGTGGTAGGGTGATGTTTTGAGTCTCCTAAAATCATCCTACCACTGTTCAATTAAGGATGGCATCAGAATGTCTTACACTCATTCTTCTCAAAATTAAACACTGTCCTCCAAATATAATAACCACAGCTCAATACAATGCTAGGAAGACAATGTGAACTGCTCAAGAGTAAAAAATCCTTTAGGATGGTTTTTTTCTTGTATAAAACTCATCAATTTCAGTGGGCTTAAGTGTATCTGCATATGCGTTTGAGTTTTCCAAATGTTTAGGATAATGTTGACCTTAAATCTTTTTTCACCCTTAAAAACTATATGCCACTCTTTACAGCATTGCATCTGCTGATGCACCTTGGCCATATGCATTCCTAGATCTGAAAAAGATGAGTAAAGCAACAGATCCAGTCAAAGAGAAAGATATAAGCACCAATACAATAACAATGATATTGGAATGAACCAATGATAGAGAGCTTTGAAGTTTCCAGATTTCCTTCTGAGAGTGGATTTTTCAAACTAAAATATGCATATAATAAAAAACAGAGCTTCTATACAATAATTTTTATTTTGTATTTAAAACACTATTAAAGACTTTGGTTGGAAATTGACTGTGTGTCAAAACATCTCTTAAGCCTAGAAAGGAAAAAAAGTTCAAATACTCACCATTGTCTAAAGGCAAGTCGGTGCTGCTGCATAGAATAACCACAGCCTTAATAACAAGTCAAAGAGGTTTGAAGAGATACATATATCTTTGAAAAGGTCATGTTCAGGGAAATCCACTTCTAAAATATCCACAGATAAAAGGCAGCTTAATCATATTGAACAGAAGCACAGCCTACGGAGTTTAAACGAACTACACAAAAGTGAAAGAGCACAGAGAGGATTCCCTCATATTGTTGAATGTACTGTGGAACAGAAACAAAATATTACTCTCAGACAGTTCAAGGGATCTCTGTGGGGGAGGTGAGCATCCTCAGCAGTGGAAAAAGGTTGCCGCAATACATTACAGCCCCCCTCAAAAATGGTATGAAAGCCAGATACTAGCGTTGAAGTGGCACCATTTACAGTAAGGTTTTAAACGTCACACAGTCATTTCATGCTATGCTCCAAATGCAGTGTTTCATCCGATTAGTGATTTCTCTAAATGCTGAATACTACCAATTCATCACCCATTCACATAACCTTTTTTTTAAATACCCGTGATATTTATTGACACAATAAATAGCTCAGGAGGTTGTACCATTACATGAGACCCGTTATTTTCCATCTTTACAAGAAATGGTAATTCAGTTCGTGGCAAATGTACTGAAGAGCTTGAAGGGATGAGTGAGAAATAGAAAAGCCCCCAAATCTTGAAATGATGTTGCAACGTTAGGACTTAAATTAAAGAAATGTCCCAAGATGGGGGTCTGCAAACTGGTTGAATCAGCTTATTAGACAATGGTGGATCAACTGTCTTTCCCCATTTTTGTAGGCAAAAGATAGCCCACCACCAACTTCATTCTCCATTGCCCTGTGTCAAAGGATATCATTTCTCTTTGGTTGCAAGTAGAGGCACACAGTGAAACTTGACAATTCCCATATGAGATGAGCTGGAGATTAAATATAGTCAACACTATAGAGTAAGCGTTTTATCCTAGAAATATTTTCAAAGACTTTTGGAAATTGTTAACATGGTCCTAAATCAGATAGTTATTTTCACAAATAGTATGGCAGGTAGTAATAGCTCAGTGGTTTAGTTATATGGCTGAGGAGCCAGAGGTTGGGAGTTCAATTCCCCACTGTGACTCCAGGGAGAAAAGCCAGCCTGTGTGGCTTTGGGCAAGCTACCTAGTCCCAGGATGCCCCCAGAAGAAAGAAACGGTAAACAACCTCTGAGTATTATCTACCTGGAAAGAGTCACCGCCATAAGTCAGAGCTGACTTGATGTCACAGCAGCAGCAGTGGCCAACAGAACTAATGAAATTTTCGTAAGTGTTGATTTCTCAAATTTCGGTTTATTCAATTCTCCTAATGTCAAGGTCAGATGTATAAAACTTGAACAAACTCCTCAGAGGAGGATATGATTTATAACACCCTTTGGTTATTTGAATCTGTGAAGGTCCATCAGAGGTGACATTTTTGCCTGATAGAGTATAGGATCAAATAATCCTATCAATTGTCACAATGTTCATCTGGGTATCAATATACCCAGAGAGTGATCAGACAGGTGTTTAACCCACTGTTTGGGCTCCTGCAGGGACAGGCTGGTGTGCTCTTAAAGGTGGTGATCTGACAGTAGCTTTGCTGGAGCAAACCAGCCTGTCCTTAAAGCATTTCTACCTGCACCTTCCTGGCCCATCAAGGCACTTCTGTTTTTTTTTTTTTTTAAAGTCCAGGAAGGATTGCTCTATTTTGGTTCATCTCCAGTGCATGTGATTGATGGGAATGGGCCAAGGGAAACCCTTCTCTTTCAGTTTGCCAGTATCATGAAGTGGACTAATAAAAGAGCTGCTTCGTGATGCAGGCAAATGAAACACTTCCTTAGCTCTGTAGAAATGTTTATTTTTGAAAGGCAGCATGGGGAGACTGCCTTTGAAAACTCAAACCCTCTTCTGTCTGTGTGTGTCTGTTTGTCTTCACTTTGATCGGCTTGTCTTTTGAACGGGGCAAACCGAAGCAGTGGCAGGAGGAGACAGGAGGTGGGTTTCCAAAGGCAGTGCAGAGGGGACTTTCTTTGGAAAGCCAAACCTTCTGACAGCCAAATGTCTGTCTGTCTGCATGCCTGTGTCTCAGTGTGGCTTGGCTTGGCTTGGCTTTTTAAAGAGGGAAGCAGAGTAGTGGTGGGGGCAGGAGGAGACAGGAGGGTGATTTCTGTTTGCTTTACTCTTAAAGAGCCAGTCAAGAAAAGTAAACAAAAATCACCCTCGTTGCCCCCCTCCTGTTTCTGTCAGCAGGCTGATTGGGACCAATACGGTCTCTTCAGGTCTGTATGCCATTTGGATGTGAGGATCATAAACAAAAATCACCCTCGTTGCCCCTCTCCTGTTTCTGACAGCAGGCTCCATATGACATTTGGATGTGAGGATCACACGAAATGGCATACTGGACCTCCTCATGACCCTGTTTAGCTCACTTGAGTCAACTTCAAAAAAGATGTGTAGACAAGCCCTCTAGAATCTGCTATCTGAGGCAACAGTCTCGTTCTCTCTGATGGTAGAGCTGGTCTTGAATCTGCTGTGTTTCAGTTACAGAAAGACTAAAACAGCAATAAAAGGTTTTGAAAATGTACGACAATTTTATAACAATAAATAAAGAAAGTGTGCCCTGTAAGTTATGTTGGCCACAGGAATGGAGCTAAGTATGCAAGTGTCATCTGCTAAAATATCTTCTTGCATATAAAGCAAAGTGTATTTGTGAAGGCTTTCATGGCCAGGGTCTAATGATTGTTGTGGGTTTTTCAGGCTCTTTGGCTGTGTTCTGAAGTTTGTTCATCCTGACGTTTCGCCAGTCTCTGTGGCCAGTATCTTCAGAGGACTGCAGTAGGGACAGAGACTGGAGAAACGTCAGGAAGAACAACCTTCAGAACACGGCCAAAGAGCCCGAAAAACCCACAACAACCAAAAGCAAAGTGTGTTGCTTATATACTGTGTAGAGATGGGCATGGACCACCAGGGCCGTTCATGCTGCTTCATCCTTCAGATGAACAGGTGTTTGGTGGTTCCCAAACCTGCCTCCTCCAGCAGGCGCCCACTCAGGGGCAGCACCCTGGCTTCCCTGCCCCACCTTCTCCAGCGCCTGCCCCTGAGTGGGCGCCCGCTGGAGGAGGCAGAAACGCCTGTTCATCTGAAGGACAAACCAGCACAAACTGCCAAACTGTTCATGCCCATCTCCAATACTGCCCCATAGTGCTTAAAGTACTCTTCAAGGTTTATAATTTAAGTATACAGGTGACAAAATGAGCCGAGTACTCAATTTAACACCTTTGGGGGAATGGAAGGCTGAGTCAACCTTAAGCCAGCTACCTAAATCTGTTGGAATTGAACTGATGTCATGAGCAGTCTTTGATGCATTTTAACCACTGTGCCATGAGGCTCTTTTGATGTCATGAGCAGAGTCTTTGATGCATTTTAACCACTGTGTCATGAGGCTCTTATTAGCATAAATGTTAATGGCACAGGAGTGAATGTGGTAATCTGACTGCCGTAGGGCCTGAATTAGAGAGGGAAAACTAGTTGGTGAAATTCAGAATATCTCTGTTTTGCCAAACATTTGTTTCAAATTATGCCCTCCCTTACCCAGAGCAGTTGCCAATGGGTCCAGGCATCCTCTGTCTTCTCCCTCTCAACTATCATTTGAGCACAGTTGTGATGTGTGTGTTTTTCTGATACAGAATTCCAAATGCCATTAGTAATAATGTTAATGTATGAAAGAATTATACTTCTTTCATACAGTTCATAAGTCAGAAGCTACCACAGTCATCTGAATCTTGTGAGAAGCCCCTAAGGCATATGAAAGCCCCACTGTTTGCATATGATAAGGATGCAAATCAGGAAATATGATATAACAATAGCACATAATCCAAATACTGGCACACTGGTTACTAAAGAGTAACTACAGTACATCCTCTGCAAACATATTCATATAGAGTAATGACTTCAGGGTTGCCATTTCGGTAAAAGGGGCAGTAAAAGATTCTTCAGGGAAGTTGAAAGGTTCTTTCTTGGTTATATTGAAGATTATTTTTTCAAGTCCTCTCATCCACTCACTGTATACTGAAAGAGAATTTGTTCTTGCTTTTTAATAATAAACTCTGTCTGGCCCAATAGCTAAGTGAATTACATATCTGGCAGAGACTGGGAATTCATTTCCCCACTATGCATCCCAAGAGCCAGCCTATATAACCTTGGGCAAACTGCACAGTCCCAGGGCGCCCCCAGAAGAAGGGTGTAGTAAGCCACTTCTGGGTACCCTCTAACTAGAAAATCCTGAAAAGTGTTTCCGTAAGTTGAAATTGGCTCAATGGCACATGATTATTATTTGTTTAACATTTTAAAGATTACACTCTTCCTCCATTTTGTTAAGCAAAGGGACATTCTTGCTTTTTAATGATAAACTCTGTCTGGCTCAATAGCTAAGTGAATTCATTTCCCCACTATGCATCCCAAGAGCCAGCCTATATAACCTTGGGCAAGCTGCATAGTCCCAAGATGCCACCAGAAAAAAAGAAATAGTAAACCACTTCTGAGTACTCAGAAAACCCTGAGAAGGCTCAACATAAGCCATAAACAAACACTGGTTTGTTGACCAAGGAGGGGGAAGTGCTCAAGCTACCTGTACATTTTGTATTTGCAAAGGGATATCTGTCCTGGCTGTTAGATGGATTTTTGCCCATGGAACTATTTACAAGAAGAAATATTCATCATATACCAGTGAGTTGGCCAAAATTCATTGCTCTTACAGAATAATTCTAGGAAATCTTAATTTTGCTAAGCTGAAACATATGGCCAACCTTTGAAAACACCATTTTAAAGAAGGAGGCCAACCATGTGGTCTGTTTACTTCTCTCAGCGGGTGCCACGCTTCTTTAATTAATAATTGTTTGTCATCAAGTCAATTCTGACTTATGATTACTCTTTCCAGGTTTTTTAGGTATAGGATACTATTACCATAACACCCCCTTCTTCTGGGTGTGCTCTTGGACTATGCAACTAGCCCAAAACTACACAAGCTAGCTCTTTTCCCTGAAGGTACACTGGGGAATTGAACTCCACACCTCTGGCTCTGCAACCAGGTACACAACTCACTGAGCTATCCAGCTAGTGCACACTTTATTTTAAAAGAGGTGATATTCCCAGTGTAATGCCTCTCCATGTTATGGCAAGCAATTTGCCAAGACTTGAGGAAGAATAATAATTATACA